TATAAGCCTCATACAGAGGACCCTTGACTTACAAACTCAATTCATTTGCAAGATCTGGTTACAACTCAAGTTGGTTGTAAGTCAAGACTTTCCCATAAAAAATAATGGAAATACCCATAATGCATTCCAAACTTCTCAATGCACCCCATAATTAAATGGTTGTATAATATATATAGTTTATCAGAAAGATCAATAATTTTCCTCCTGTTCACCAAAAAATTATAAAATGTGCCTAGTTTATCAGAAACAACAGTTTCATACTGTACTCAACATTAAGTTGATATCTTTGGCTCGCAGGAAGGAAGGATGAAATGGAAGGTAGTTAATACTCTTCTGTAGTATGACATGACATTGGTTTTTTTGTTGTTTTTGGGGGGGGCAGTTACCAGGGATCAAATTTGGGACCTTGCGCTTGTGAGGCAGGTGACATGACATTGTTATTAAGTAAGTGAATGAAATGACTGGCTTTTTCTCTGGATGGATCCTCTCTACAAATGTTTATAGCTCTGTCCATTTTTTCAGTATTTTCTTTATTTCAGAAGAACATTGCTGCACTGATTGTTGATACTCCACCTCCTCTTCAAAAAGCTCCTCAGCTGCCATTCTCTTGGTCAGCCAGAAGCTGCTGAAATTCCTCTGTAGACAGTTCCTCTGAGTGTTCCTCCACCAGTTCCTCAACATCACCACTGTCCACCTGCAAGCCTATGGACTCTGCTATAGTGACAGTGTCATCCACCACAGGGTCAAGGTTCAGGTCAAGGCTCCTCTATACAGCCTTCAAAGTCTCTCTCATATATGATTTTAGGCCACACTTTCTTTCAGGCAGATCTCAGTGTTCTTGGACATTGGCCTAGGATTTCTCAGTTAAACCCACACAGGAAAGGATGCTGAACTGTTCCTTCCAGAACTCTTTAAGCATTAAATCTATATCTGAGACCATCTGGAAGTACTTCAGGAACAGTTCCTTGGTGTGTAGCTTCTTAAAGTTAGCTATAACCTGCTGGTCCATAGGCTGCAATAGAGGATGTATTAGATGGGAGGAACTCACCTGAGAGCCATGGGAATTCTTCAGCCAATTCTTTCCAATCTCATGGGTGAGCCGGAGCATTGTCCATGATGAGAGCCTTGGGTGGTGAACCTTTGTCCTCTAGAAATTTCTTAATAGGACAGAAAGCCTCCCTGATCCACTCAAGACAAAGTACTCTTGTTACCCAGGCTTTTGCATTAGATCTCCACATAACGCCTAGTGTGTTCTTAATGGCTTTATGTTTTCTGAACACTCTTCTGTACTCAAGAGTGGTAAACCAAGAGAGGCTTTATCCTGAGGTCACCACTCGCATTGACACACAGCAATAGGGTTAAGCATATCCTTCATTGGCTTATGGCCTGGGATTTTCTTCCAAAGGCCAGTTTCATCACAGTTGAAAACTTGATGAGAGCAAAAGCCATTTCTCTGTGTCATTTTTCAAAGTCGTGTATGTGATTTTCAGCAGCCCTTTTATGGACACTGGCTGCTTCACTATGCCTAGTTATGCTATGTTCTCACTTTAAAATTGTGAAACCACCCCTTACTGGCACAAAATGTTTCACCATTATCACTTGTTGATGGATTATCTTTTATAAGATCTGCATTTTTAGCCCTAGCTTTTTCACAAATTATAGACTCTGGGGCCGGGGATTTAGCTCAGTGGTGCCGCGCCTGCCTCGCAAACACAAGGTCCTGGGTTCAGTCCCCGGTACTGCAAAAACACACACACACACACAAATTATAGACTCTGGCTATAACCTGCCATCTGGCTTTCATTTATCCACACTAATAATAGCCTTTCTACCTCTTCTAACACTGTTGATCGTTACTTATTAATTTGAGTAACACCTGTAGCAGCACTAGCTTCCTCACACAAATCTTTTCTCTGTAAGATTGTCAGATGGTCAATTTCAACATGTTGTACATATTAGTAAGATGAGTTGCATAAACACCACTTTCATATTTCTCCACAATTTTATTCTTTTTGATTTTGATTGCCTTCTTTATCTTCCTTTCTTCCTTAGCTTCTTTTCTAACTATTTTGGGGCCATTTTGATAGCAGTAATCATAGCAATTATATAAAGCACTGACCAAAATCACATCCATAAACAGGTGCATCTGGGTTCAGACTAATGCTTCTGTATACTTACATACGCTTTTCTGGCATTGCAAGTCTTTGTTTACAACCACACAAGTGGCCAGCCTTCAGGTCGTAACTCAAGACGTTGGTCGTAAGTTAAAATCCTGGGGGCCGAGGATTTAGCTCAGTGGTTTCGCCGCCTGCCTCACAAGCGCAAGGACCCAAGTTCAATCCCCGGTACCAAAAAAAAAGGAAATGGGATTCAGAGGAGTCAAATGCTTCTGATGTTTCAAGGTGATAAAATGCAAAAATTAGTAGCCAGAACTCTTCCCCATCCCAAACTGCCTTGATTGTTCTAGGGCCGGGGATTTAGCTCAGTGGTTCCGCTGCCTGCCTTGCAAGCACAAGGTCCCAAGTTCAATCCCCGGTACCAAAAAAAAAAAAAAAATTCCAGTCATAGCCCAAATTATTCGTATGTGAAGCCTATCATAATTCGAGGGTCCACTGTAATCTAATTGCCTCCCAAAGGTCCCAGGTCTGAACACATGTCTAGATACAAACTGTAATACTCAGCCTTCCAAGAAGCTGGAATGACAAGTACAGGCACACCTGGCTGCACGTCCATTGTCTACAGAGCATAGAAACATGCACGTGTTCCATGCTTCACCCTCCTTGCCTCAGTTATACAGCACTACCCCTGCTCCCCTTTGGTAAGTGAGATCTGGCAATCCAGCTTGTAACTCCCTGGCCTTTCATTTTCCCTCTTAGTGTAGTGATAGAAGAAGCCCAAAGTGGCCAGATAGCTATCTAATCTTCTGAGGTATTGGGGCTATCATTGTGCCCCGAGAGATAAAGTACTGCAAATTGCTGGGCTTGGAATCATCATGTTCTTTCTATTCACCCTGGAGTATGCCAGCAACCACAGGCAATCAGAATTCAGAGATAAATTTGCAATCAGATCCAGGATCTCTGCTTCCTAACGGGGACAAGGAACCTTTGTGCTGTTGGATTCAAGATTTGGTTTGGGTTGGTTTTGGTTTTTGCAATACATTACTTGGGATTGAACTCAGGGCCTTCCTATAGCTATATTCCAAGCCCCCATCTCACTATCAGTTACAGTGGACCCTTGAGTTATGACCGGCCCAACATAGGAACAACTTGAGTTACAACCTGAATGCCGGCCACTTATGCTTCCAGATGGTCTGAAATACAGATTTAACCCTTAAAGAGTTCTGGAAGGGGGGCTGGGGATTTAGCTTAGTGGTGCTGCCACCTGCCTTGCAAGCACAAGGTCCTGAGTTCAATCTCCAGTACCAAAAAACAAAAAAGAGTTCTGGAAGGAATGTTACAACATCTTTTCCTCTGTGGGGTTGAGAAGTCCTGGGCTAATGTCTCTCTAAGGACACTGAGATCTGCCTAGAAGAAAGTGTGAGCTAAAATTATATAGGAAAGAGACTTTGAAGGCAGTTGACCAACTTGAGTTACAACCAGCCCTTGGGAATGAATTGAGTTCGTAAGTCAAGGGTCCACTGTATCTTGGTTTTGGTTTTGGTTTTTGAGACAGTTTCACTGGGTAGCTCAGGCTGGCCTTGAACTCACTATGTAGCTCAGGCTGACCTCAAACTTGCAGTGATCCTCCTGCCTCAGGCTCTTGAGTGTTGGCATTACAGGCATGCACCACCACAGCTGGCTTCGGACAGTGTCTCACTAACTTGCCTGGGATGGACTTGAACTTGAGGTCCTCTTGCTTCCACATCCTGCTTGAGTCTAGGTTCAAGCCTATTTAATGCTGAAATAAATAGGTATATTGATTCTAATGTAAAGGGTTGGTATGATACTTAGGTGACTCTGTATATAGACAGTGCAAATTCAGTCATAATGGGCTCAGCACATGACAACTTGTGTTAATATTCTGATGACTGGTGATGAAGTATTGCTTGGAAATCACTGATTAATATCAACAGGACTCCAGATAACCCCGTAGAGGAACGGAGGGCCAGGGATTTAGCTCAGTGGTTCCGCTGCCTGCCTCATATGTGCAAGGTCCTGAGTTTGATCCCTGGTACCAAAAAAAAAAAAAAGGAATGGAGATTTCTATTAATCATGGGTTCATAAACAACCATGAAGTACCTCTTATCTTCCAGGAAAGGGGAACATTTTACCTGGAGCCTCAAGGGTGTCAGCCAGGTCAGTCCTGTTGATGCTCTGCTTTTGTCCCCTCTGAATAATAGACTCCAGTGGCCAGGACCTCAACAGTCACCCTATCCTTCTGTTCTTTATGAAGATGTCAGAGTGGGTCAGAGAATGCTGCTGTTTGTCAGCCTCCTAGTATGTGTGCTACATAATCTCCGTGAAATTTATTATCATGGCCAAATGCGGGCTTAATTTCCATAGGTTTAAATTTCCTTACCTAAAAAAAAATTCCTTACCTGGCCAAGTGTGGTGATGCACACCTGTAATCCCCGCACTGTAGCAGGCTGAGGCAGGAGGATCATAAGTTGAAGCCTAGCGTGGGCAATTTAAGGAGACCTTGTCTTAAAATTTTTTAAAATGTAAAAACAGTTGAGGATGTAGCTCAGGATGAAGACCTTAGGTTAAGTCCCCATTACTACCAAACGACAACAACAAAAATGCCAAGTATTTCTTACCTGTAAAATGAGACTATTAGAGTTTTCCTGGGAGAGGAACATGGCTCAAGATCCCCCCTCCCTTTTTTTCAAGATCCCTTCTTTGCTCCTGATGAGGCAGCAGCTGTGACACTAGTAGTGTGTGGCGGGGGCCGGGGCGGGGGGGGATTACATGGAAATTTCTTACTAGGATGGAATGACTTCCAGCCTGCAGGCAGAGGAGTTTTGCTCAGTTCTGGATTCTCATGCCTTCTCTCTTTTCCAGGAGCTCTTCTTTCTAGGGACCCAGTCTTCCTTCTTGAAGAAAAGATAAAGGAAGAAAGGATGGTGGCCGACTGCCTGACAAACTGCTATCAGGTATGCAGAAACTTGTCTCACAAAATGACGTGCTTGCCCCCACCAGATGGACACATTTCTGGCCAAGGCAGATTTGTGTCCCCACCTTAAAGCCAATAAAGCCTCAGACAAGAAATGAGTCCCCAGCTGATTTTTCCAGAGAGCCGCATTACTCTTATTGGTAAGGTGTTACCTGAAAGCTATTCCAGGATGTCAGTAATTAACTAGTCAGTGATGACATTTATGGTGACAAGGGTATGTTTGCTATTTTGCCAAGTACTCTCACAGATATTAAGGAAGAAGAAAGTGCTGGGGATTTAGCTCAGTGGTTTTGCCACCTGCTGTGCAAGTGCAAGGACCCAAGTTCAATCCCCGGTACAAAAAAAAAGGAAGAAGAAAGTGGCCTTTTCTGTGAAAGTCTATTCATTCATGCCTATTTACCAAGTATTTGCATATGTTCAGGACCTGTACTTTTTTTTTTGGTGCCGGCGATTGGACATTGGGGATTGAACTCGGGTCCTTGTGCTTACGCAGCAGGTGGCAAAACCACTGAGCTAAATCCCCGGCCCCAGGAGCTGTACTTTTAATAGTACAGAATAAGAGGAGAAGAGCACCCAGTCTAGTTCTGGGGAGACCAGTTTGTGTTTCAGAAGGGCCATTGCAGCCCCATGATGGCAGGAGAGGGACAGTGAGCAGGTGTGGGTAGAGGAAGGTCCCTAGGACCGCTGGCCCTGGCTGGGCCGCGGAGACCCTCACAGCCCTGTGTGGACATCAGCCTGGCCCCTCATCTCCCATGAACATTGGTGGAGAGGTCACTGCCATGGCTTGTTACTCAGGCTGGCCTGTGTGTGATGATTCAGGACTCGGTGACCTTTGAGGATGTGGCCTTGGACTTCACCCAGGAGGAGTGGGTTTTACTGGATCAAAGTCACAGAGACCTTTACAGAGAGGTGATGTTGGAGAACTATGAGAACCTGACCTCCATGGGTAAGAATGCCGTCGTGTCTTTCGGCCTCCTAGGGAGGAGATGGAGGCTGTGCACTTCCTTCACAGCCTGGGTGATGTGGACTCTGTGTCCCCTGGGAAATGAGAGGGACATAGCCTCTGTCCCCGGATGGTAGTCCTGCTTTATCCTTGGGGGATATGTTCCAGGATCCCAGTGCATCCCTGAAACTGCAGCTAGTCCTGAACTTGGGTACAATTTCAGTAATGATTTGATATACAACAGCAAAACCAGCATGAATTTCTTTTTCCTTCACAGTTGCACAAATTGAAGATTCCTTCTTATAATAGGTAATAACTACCTCAGCATAGGATTATTTTCCTTTTCTTTTTAAGTCAACAACTTTCTTTTTTGTTGTTGATTTTTTGGTTTTCTTGAGACAGGGTTTTCTTGAGACAGGTAGTTCAGGCTGGCCTTGAACTCACTGTGTAGTCCAGGCTGGCCTCAAACTTGTACCGCTTCTCCTGCCTTAGTCTCCCAAATGCTAGGATTACAGGCGTGTGCCACCAGCCTTAGCTAAGTCAAAAACTTTCAACTTTTCACTTAAATGAAGCACTTTAGGGTTTCTCCAAATTAGCAGTATTACTACTGTTCTGCTGTGGGGCCATTATGAAGTAAAATAAGGGTCACTTTAACACAAACACTTCTGTCCTGACACGTGATCTGGTAGGTGACACAGCTACTAAAGGACTATTGTGCAGGTAGCTTGTACAGTGGGACTGTGTTGGACAAAGGAGTGGTTTGCATCCAAGGTGGGATGAGATGGGACTTTGCAAAATTTCATCAGTTACTCACAACGTGAATCATTTCTGGAATGTTCTTTATAATATTTTTGGGCCATAGATGATGGTAGGCTCCTGAAACTACAGAAGGCAAAACCATGGGTAAGGGGAACCACTCTGAAGTTTTAATCTAATGTGGTGATTGTTAAAATGTGGTCCGATACCATTATCTTCACTCTGTTAGAAATACTGTAAGTCAGTCTCCTCCTTTGACTCCCTGAATCAGGAACTCAGTGTAGATTCCTGTCACATGAGGGTTTTGTCTGTGGTACTAGTGGTGGTCCACAGGGCTTTGTGCATGCTAAGCAAATGCCTTACCACCAAGCTACACTCCTAGCCCATGTTGTGTAAGTTCTGTCAAGCCAGCCACATAAATCAGACACATTATAATTTGTTAGTCCCTGGCATAGTTTTTTCCCCAGAACAAATATCTTTTTGTTTCACTTTGATTTTTCTATTTGATTGAAAGTGTTTTTGTTTGTTTTGGTTTTTTCGAGTCAGGGTCTCACTATGTAGTTCAGACTGGCCTTGAAATAACTCTTGTAGCCCAGGCTGGCCTCAAACTCACAGAAATCCTGCCTTACTTAGCCTCCTGAATGCTGGAATTACAGGCGTGTGCCACCATACCTGGCATTAAAGTGTGTTTTGTTAGTATGTGCATAAGCATTAACTTTGTTTCAGGGTTTAGAGAAAATGAATGATTTGGGGCACAGAAAGAGCTATTTGCATGCTTAGTCCTTTTATAATAATTCTCTTGCTTTCATTAGATGGATCACTCCTGAATGAAACTAAGTTTAGTGCTCTCTTGCCTGAATGTCTTGCATGAATGCATCTTTCCCCGTGTGCAGGATGTGAGCTTGTCAAACCCAGTCTGATCTCCAGGTTGGAAAACAAAGAGGATTGGAGGACAGAGCAGAGAGGAGATCCCCGAGGTGAGTATTTGTGAAGAACAACCCTGATCCAAGGACACAGTTAAGTATGGAAATATAGTGAGGAACCTTTGAGATGCATTTGATATCAGAAGCTTCAGGGGGCCAGGGATTTAGCTCACTGGTTCCTCCACCTACCTCGCAAGCACAAGGACCCAAGTTTGATCCCCAGTACCCAAAAAAAAGAAGCTTCGGGCCGTTTATCTGAGAAGGTAGGAAATCTTCAATTTCTCATACTATTTATTTCTGCTTGACCCCACTTTACTGTGATAAAACAAAATGACCTCTTCTCTTTCTTTGTTACCATTTTGTTGCTTGTTCTTTGTCTAGGTCTTTGGAACTTTTTATTTCTGATAATATTCTTGTTCACCATCAATTTTAATTTTCAGAGAATCAGTTTGTAATAAACTGTCAAAAACTGGCCCACAACTTTACCATTGGCAAATATTTATTTATTTTGGTACCGGGGATTGAACTCAGGACCTTGTGCTTGCCAGGCATGGCACCACTGAGCTACATCCCTGGCCCAGCACTGGCAAATTTTTTTTTTTTTTTTTTTTTTTGTACCAGGGATCAAACTCAGTACCTAGTGCTTGCGAGGCAGGCGGCAGAATGACTGTGCTAAATCCCCTGCCCTGCAGATTTTTAGCCTACATGCTTAAAGTTTGTCATCTTTTTTTTTTTGGTACCGGGGATCGAACTCAGGTCCTTGAGCTTGCGCAGCAGGTGGCAAAACCACTGAGCTAAATCCTGGACCCTACATTTTTCATCTTCTTTTATCCCTCCCTCAAACTGGGGATTGAAACCAGGGCCTGGCAAATGTTAGGCATGTCTTCAACCACTAATCCTAGGTTTTAGGGGGTTTTGGTTATTTTTTAATCATAAATATAAATGAGTCCTATCTTTGTGCATGTGTGTATGCAGTACTGGGCATTGAATTCAGAGCCTCATGCATGGTAAGCAAGTGCTGTACTGCTGAGCTCTATCCCCAGCACTCCAATCATTTTTAATTCCTACAGTCTACCATTTCTTTCTCTAAATCTTAATTTTATATTTCTGTTTATCTTCAGAATGGGAAATGCAACTTAGCACCAGAGAGTCAACATTTCAGCATGGTATTTTGACAGAACGAACTTCCAGTGGGGTACTAATGGTAAGGTTAACAAAAGATGTTTGTTATTTCCCACACTGAGAGATAATTGTGAATTCCATTTTAGAATATGAGTAGCATTAACCCAGGAGGGAGCATTCTGGAGAGATACTCTGCATGTAATGAATTTGGGAGAGCCCCGAACCTATGGTGAAACCTCTTTTCCTTTGGAGGTTCCACAGGTACACATTGCCACATGAGTAACCAGACACTGACATTTTAAAGCAATTTTCTGAATATCTTATCAGTGTCTTTAAAATTAGAGCCAATGTCATGAGATTCTGACATTGCTGTTCCTTTATTCGATACTATAGAAATCATATGGTAGAATGTAAGAATGTCATGAAAACTGTAAAAAATCATAATCATCCTCTAAATAATGTACTTAAGTCATCATTTATCCATTTATTAACAGCAAAGAAGTAACATGTTGATCAGTTCTAAACTTAAGGCCATTTCCTATTTATTGCACTCAGAAAAGATTGGCAATTTTGAGCCAGGGATTTAGCTCAGTGGTGCCACCGCCTGCCTTGAAAGTATAAGGTCCTGAGTTCAATCCCCGGTACCAAAAAAAAAAGATTGGCAATTTTTTTGTAAAAAATCAGTATAAGTGAGATACTTGAAAGAGGTGCCATTTACCTTAATGGGAGAAAGTTCTCTAAAGGAATGCTCTGAATGGGATGAATTTGAGGTACCTTCATACTAGGCAAAATTTAGGGCTTCAGCTAGGTGTGGTGGCACTCGGGAGGCTGAGGTGGGAGAATTGCTGTGAGTTTAAGGCCAGTCTGGGCTACATAGTTCAAGGCTAGCCTATACTACAAAGCAAGACCCTGACTCAAAAACAGACAAAAAACTTGGGGCTTCAGAGTTCCCACAAGTACATATTCCCACACTTGTAACTGGGCACTGAGCTTCCTAAAAGAATTTTATGAGAATGTACAGCAATCATTCCAAGGTTAGAACAGTCAGCACAGGATCCTTACGGAGGGATCCCTTCATTGAACCACAGAGAAACCCACAGAACAGGAATTATAACCATCTAGTGGAAAAGGCAAAAACAATAATGTTTCTGTCTTCAGATAAGTAGAATCATTAGGTCCAAAAAAATCCTTTAACTGAGCAGGGGATTTAGCTCAGTGATTCTGCTGCCTGCCTCACAAGCGCAAGGTTCCAGTTCGATCCCCGGTACCAAAAAAAAAAAACAGAACCTTTAACCATCATTCATCTCTTCACCAACAGGCGGAAATCCACAGTGACTATAAGCGTTGTGGAGAAATCTTCAGTGAACACTCCTATTTCAAGACACACATGAAAACTCTAAATTCAAGGAACACTTGTGACTCTGATAAGGATGGAAAACCCTTTCCTACTCTGAAGATGAAAACTTCTACTGGACAGAAATTTTCTGTGTTGAATGAACGTGAAACAGCCTTTAGCCCAACTCCAAATGTTGCTTACCAGAGAATGGAGATGCAGGACAAATCTTTTGGATGCAGTGACTATCCCTTCCTTAGTAAGTCATACTTTCAGACACATGTGAGAAATCACAATGGGGAAAAGCTCTATGAATTAAAGCTATTTTCAGGAGGTTTTCTTTATTCCACAAGTGAGGCTGTGCCTTTTCAAATGTATACCATCAAAGCCTACGAATGTAAGGTTTGTGGGAAAGTCTTTGGATACTCCTCAAATCTTAATAGCCACATGCGAACCCACACTGGGGAGAAACCCTATGAATGTAAGGTTTGTGGGAAAGTCTTTGGATATTCCTCAAATCTTAATAGCCACATGCGAACCCACACTGGCGAGAAACTGTATGAATGTAAGGAATGCAAGAAGTCCTTCACTACTTCTTCAAGCCTAACAGAACATTTTAGAATTCATACTGGAGAGAAACCCCATAAATGTAAGGAATGTGGAAAAGCCTTCACAAAGCGCTCAGGCCTTGCTACACATGTACGAACACACACTGCAGAGAAACCCTATGTATGCAAGGCATGTGGCAAATCCTTCAGCATTTCTTCAAACCTAACCGAACACTTCAGAATTCATACTGGAGAGAAACCCTACCAGTGTGAGGAATGTGGGAAAGCCTTCCATGCTGCTTCCTACCTTCATAAACATGAAAGGATTCACACTGGAGAGAAAACCTATGAATGTGAGGAGTGTGGGAAAGCTTTCCACACTTCCTCCAATCTACGGAAACATGTAAGAACTCACAGTGGAGAAAAACCTTATAAATGTAGGGAATGTGGGAAAGCCTACAAAAGGTGTTATCGGCTAACTGAACACTTGAAAACTCACATGGTGGAGAAGCCCTTTGAATGCAAGTTATGTGGAAAATCCTTTAGCAGTTCTGCCTGCCGGAATAAGCACATTCGAATTCACACGGGAATCAAACCCTATAAATGTAAGTACTGTGGGAAAGACTTCACTGTTTCTTCAAGTCTGACTGAACATATACGAACTCACACCGGAGAACGGCCCTATGAATGTAAGGAATGTGGGAAATCCTTCACTACATCTTCATGTCTGATTGTTCATATAAGAACTCACACAGGAGAGAAACCCTACCAATGTAAGGAATGTGGAAAAGCCTACAAAAGGTGTTACCTGCTGACTGAACATGTGAAAACTCACACAGGGGAAAAGCCCTTTGAATGTAATGTATGTGGAAAGTTCTTTAGAAATTCTTCATGCCTTAATAAGCACATTCGTATCCATACTGGAATAAAACCCTATAAGTGTCAGTACTGTGGGAAAGCCTTCACCACTTCTTCAAGCCTGGCTGAACACATCAGAACTCACACAGGGGAGAAGCCCTATGAATGTAGCGAATGTGGGAAAGCCTTCACAACATCCTCGAACCGATATCACCATGCAAGAACTCATGCTAGGGAGAAGCCCCATAAATATCAGGAATGTGGGAAAGCCTACAATAGGTTTTACCTACTAAGTGATCATTTAATGACTCACACTGGACAGAAACCCTTTGAATGGGAACAATGTCAGAAACCCTTTAGGAATTCCTCACATGTTAATTGTCACACTGGAATTTACCCTGGTGAGAATCTTAATTAATGTAAGGATTGAGGAGCAACCTTTAGTTTTGGTAGTTTATTTGAAAGATACTGAAAATCTCTATTCTCAAGATCCTCTGTGAATTCAGAAATATGTGAGGCTGTTGGAATCTGACCACAAGGCAGCATTGTAAGAACACACCCTTGCCTGCCATGGTGGTGCATGACTGTAATCCCAGCACTTGGGAGGCTGAAGCAGGAGGATCACTGAGAGTTTGAGACTAGCCTGGGCTACATAGTGAGACCTTGTCTCAAAAAACAAGAACTCATCCTGGTGCAATATGATGTTACAAATATGAACAATCCTCAGTATTTCCTGGAAACTTAATAAATGTATAAGGTCTTGCAGTAGAAAGTCAGCTGATGTACAAGATGTTGAAAAGTTGTAATTCTGCTAAGTACTTTGATCTTCCCTGTGATATCACAGCGAAGACCAACTTTCTTTTAATGTAAGGAAGGGTACAAAGTCATTTTGTATTTTTATTGTCGTACTACAGATTGAACCTAGGACCTTATGCATGCAAGCTACCACTGAGCTACATACCAAGACCTTTTTATTTTGAGGTAGGGTCTTTAAGTTGCACAGGCTGGCCTTGAACTTGGGATTCTCCCTCACCCTCTCAAGTAGCTGGGACCCAGCTACAAAGTTATTTTCTATGTGTCATTCCACAAACTCATAAACATGGAGGTCTACAACCAAGACAGTGTTCCCAATACAGGAATAGCATCCCTGTGTCGTGAAATTTTGGATGCTGACAGAGATATAGTCTCCTAGGTGGTTTATTTTGAACATTTGTGATCCTCTCCTGATTATTCCTGGACTGATAAGTCAGTCCTGTGTAACAATAATATTCAACTCAAGTTGCTACACCTTGTAGGTTACACCTAGTCAAAACTGCTATCAAGGACATGGATTTATCTTATCCTTCTACCTATAGGATTGAACCCATACCACTGAGGTACACCCCCTACTCTTGTTTTACCAGTGTAGATTCTATGGATAGTTTGTCATACTCTTAGAGATGATTCACCTACAGAAGCTTACAGCAGCCAATCTTTGAATTTAATACAGCTATCAAGTTTATTACATTGTCTTTGTTCCTGCTTTACATGTGACCCTTTCAGATTAAAGATCGGGGTGCTCAGGGCCAGGGATTTAGCTCAGTGGTGAATGGAGAAAGGCTGAGTGAATAGCAGGTAGTGAAAGAGACCTCAATTTCATGACCTCAGTTTCAATTTCATAGAGGGAGTGAGTCATACTCTACACCTAAGAATGGGAATTCCTGTAACATTGGGGAATACAAGAAGGGAGTGAGGGTTTTAAACTTTTTCTCTCTAGATTGTCTCAGATTGGTAAAACAATCTTGAGCCAAGCAGCAGCTCCAACTGACAGTAATACCTTCTTCTGATTTGTCCTTCCGTATACTGTAGTAAAAACTATGAGCCAGGTGTGATGGCACATGCCTGTAATCCCAGCCCTCAGGCTGAGGCAGGAGGATTGCTGTGAGTTCAAGCCCAGCCTGGACTACATAGTTCAAAGCCAACCTAAACTACATAGGAACACCCTGTATCCAAAGAAAAAATCTACAAACACTGGTTGTCATGTTCCCTGGTGCTAGAAACCATCATGGCACTTCGTGAATGAGGCCTTTGGGTACAGACATCCCCAGCACAACCAGATTTCAGTCTCGAAGCAAAATTTATGTATTGCTGAGCAACTTTGGGTTATGTTGATATGACCATAAGGGTTGTAGCTGTTTTCATGGTTCTTTAGCCAGCTAGTGTGCTATAATCCAAAATAAGGCAAACAATAAATCCTGAACAGAAGAGACCTGTGCACCTTCATGTAGCATATATGTTTGCAGTGAGAAGTGAATGATGGAGTGGTTCTTCTGTAGGTTAATTGCTATTTAGACAATGTGTTACCACCTTTCTGTGTTGGCAGTGACACCAAAAATCATCAAATCAGTCTCAAGTCCCTGGTGTGAGTTGTCACTGCTCCTAGATTAGCCTTAGCTACCACCCTGTTGGTCTGATAAAAGATATGTATGTCTCACTGGGAACTCCTTCAGAGCTTCCCGAGTATAAGCATGTGTGGGTCATGGGTGAAGTACATAGTGCAGGTGGCTCACCCTTGATTGCCTACTGCTGACAGTATCATTAACAAATGACAGCCTGGTGTCACAGCCCATATATTCCCCTGTCTGAGAAGCTCACCACTGATGAAGATGTCCTCCAATCCAAGACCACGCCTTTGGAGATAACTTTCCTCTTCACTGGAGATGAGTTTGAGTTCATCAGAACCTCCACTATAGCCACGTCTGTGGATCCTTCAACAGACCCCCTGGCACAAGTTGTCTGGCTGAACTCGGGAAGCGGCGTCAGGCTTAGGAAGCGGTCATCTCTGCCTGCTGGACCCTCTGGATCAGCAAAGGGGCCTGTTTCCGACGTGCTGATCATCAGCCTCTGACTCTCCCTCCACACACTTCCTCCGGACCCACACTCGTTCAATTGCTAAGTTCATACTCCGAAGTCTGAGCCCTGAACAGAAATGGAAGCAACCTTATATAGAGATCTACAGGGTGGGGGTGGGGGGTGGGCCCACCTACTGTACAAGCATACTCATTGAGGCAGATGGGTGGAGTTAACATTCTTGAAACCTTAGGTAAAACATCATGCACAGTTACATTGCTTGAACAGAACATTTTGATACATTGGGTAGGAACATCATGCAGTACAATTACAGTACTTGAACAGAACATCCTATGGCAAAAAAACAAGGGAGAAGGCTTGGCAAGGCCTGCCTTGTCATGCATTATTTCTTTATTAAGACTACATCCTCTTGGCACCCTGCTCTGACCGGCTTATCCCACCCACTTGCATCCAGGAGACTGTGAGGACCCCCACCCTGGGCACACCCCCCAGCCGCCAGCTTAGCACAGGCACGTGCAACAATAGGCCCCACACCCCCTCTGCCTCTGGCCTCTTGGCTGTGCTACCTGGTTCCACACTACAGAGGCACAGAGGGACATAAAAGCCATTGTCCTGAGCTGCAGAAGTGAATAACAGAGAGACGGCCTCTCTCAGGCTCCCTGATGAAAACTGAAGCCCACTGGAAAAGTGAAGAGAATCTGCAATAAAGGCACACCAGACCACCGTACTTGGTAAGTTGGAGGGATCATCACCTGCCATTTGAACCTGTAATATCTTCAGGGGAAAGGCAGCTGGAACCTGTAATAGAATCTTGCTGGGTTTAACCCTGCAGGAGGACAGGGAGCTCAACTTGGGACTTGCAGCCAGAAATCTGCCTGAATCTCATGGGTCTGTGACTGGCTTACTGAGACCTATTGATTTACAACTGCACACTGCTACCCACGTTGTTTCTTGTGACAGCAGAGATATACCCTGAAGGAGGCCCTTCATTTTTAACTTTTATTTGTTATTTTCAAAATTTCATTTTTTTTTTTTTTTTTTTGGTACTGGGCATCAGACTCAGGTCCTTGCACTTGTGCCGCAGGCAGCGAAACCACTGAGCTAAATCCCTGGCCCTTTGCTCTTATTTTTGATTTTTTTTCTTCTTTTTCTACTCTTTTAAAATTTTTCTTTTTCTCTTTTTTCTTTTTCTCTTTTCTTTCTCTTTTTCTCTCTTCCTTTCTCCCTTGCTGTCCCACATTGTTCTTCATCTCCCTTTGTGTTCCTGTTCTGGCCCTAATTTGTATTCCTTCTTTATTTTTCTTTTCTTCTCTCTCTTTCACCTGTGCCCTCTGGCCTCACTGTGAACCTTCTCCTATCCCTCTATCTACCTATTCCTCCCTCCCCAACTCCTTCTGACTCTGCATCCTGAAGGGTAAAGTTGCTGTATTGAAGAGTTTATTCACTATACACATATGTTTGACTGGTCCTTGATCTTGATTTAATTCACACAGTTAAAGGTGATAGATTAATAACCACCACAAATTATCATTTTCTAAAAGATACTTGATGCTACTGGGTTGCTGATTGTATCACTTGGGCTAAGGTGTTGTGATTGATCTAATCTTTTGTCCTTCCTGTTATAATGAAAATGAGATTGCCTCAGAGCTATTACAGACTCAAAACCTAAAGACCAGCTATACCTGGAAGACACCTCTGAGAAGCAGTCATTCCATAAGGGTTCTAAATACATCAACAAAGATACTTACAATAAGCAACTTCAAAGTATTAACCCAGGAACTAAACCAAGGACAGTACCAAAAACAAAAATGAGAAGACATTTAAGCAAGTCACAAGTTCAGACTTCCACCCCACAAAAGGCAAATTCTGGGGGAAATGAGGTGGAAAAGTCTGATAATCAACCACCTGGACACCCTGAACCAATAGCACAGGAAGTAACAGATGAATGAGGCTCTAGAAAGATTCAAAGCAGAAATAATCTCCCAGATAACTACAGAGATGGTGAGCAGAGTGAAAGACATGATTAGAGGATCCAGAATAGAAACAGATAAAATAGATGAGCTCAGAAACATGCTGGAAGCCATGAATGCCCAGAATAAGAAAGAAATGGAATCCATGAAACAGATTCAAACAGATATTTGGGAGATTAAAAACTCCATTGAAAGCATGCATAGCAGATTAAGGGAATCTGAAGATAGAATATCAGATATAGAGGACAGGATTCCAGTTAAGGACCATGAAAACAGAGATTTCTTAAAAATAGTAAGGGACCATGAGAAATCAATCCAACAGCTGTTAGATGATGCAAAGAAGAATAACATAAGACTGATAGGAGTCCACAAAAAAA